GGGTCTGGAATATCTCCAGAGAAGGAGACTCCACAGCCTCCCTGGGCAGCCTGGGCCAGGGCTCCGTCACCCTCAGAGGGAAGAAGTTCTTCCTCATGTTCAGCTGGAGCTGTGTCTGCTTCAGTTTGTGCCCATTGCCCCTTGTCCTGTCACTGGGCACCACTGGAAAGAGTCTGGCCCCATCCTCCTGACCCCCATCCTGCAGATATTTGTAGGCATTTCTAAGGTCCCCTCTCAGCCTTGTCTTCTCCAGGCTGAACAAGCCCAGCTCCCTCAGCCTCTCCTCGTAGGAGAGATGTTCCAGTCCCCTCATCATCCTCGTAGCCCTCCGCTGGACTCTCTCCAGGAGCTCCTCATCTTTCTTGAACTGGGGAGCGCAGAACTGGACAGAGTCAGCAGCTCTCTGCAAAGCTCAGCGTGGGGCTGGTGTCCCCAGCAGGTCCTGCTGGCCAGGAGGGCATCTGGTCACTCAGGCATTGCTGCCCTGCACGGCTGCGTGTAAAGGCCCTGATAGCACAGGGCACTGTCGTGAGCAGGGTGAGAAGTCCGGCTTTGTATTGCTTGGGGTTTTTTTTTATCCCCTAAGTTTGCAGCATCGTTAACGTTCTGCTGGAGGAGAGATGGGTTTTCTTCAGACATCTCGGCTGCTCGGCCTTTGGAAGACGCTGTAGGGTGGCAAGACGTGGGAGCTGTAAGAAGTGGTGTAGCAAAGCCTGGTGTTGGTTAGGAAAGCAGGGAAGGAGCATGGGCAGGTTTCGGGTTTTTCTCTTTGCTGATTTGCAGGAACACAGCCCTGTACAGTCTGTTTAAAACTGAATTTAAGCTGAGTAATGGGAAAGTATTAAAAACTGTTAACACTGGGAAGAAGACTGAAGGGTCAGGGTAACGATGCGGTTTGTTTTCCATGTGAGGACAGTTTCACTGTTTATAGGTAGATGCATTTTTATGTTTAAAGTCTCCAGTGTTCGGGCCTTCAAATGCCGAGGAGAAAAGTTCCTTTGCTTGTGTAACAGCTGAGGTGGTCTGTGTAAGACAGCAGTATTTCTGTCTGGTTGAAGCTTTAGTTAATGTCTGTGCACAAACTACGCTGAGCCCAATTGGAGTTGATCAGAGTTATTTTAAGCAGGTTTTATCTGGGTCGAAGGTAACAAAGGGAGGCCCTCGGTCCGCATGTTGTACGCAGAGCAGTCTTGGTCGAAGACCCGGAGACCAGGAGGCAGCGCTGGCTTTTAGTTCGCAAGTTCAATGTAGGTTTTTTGTTTGATGACGGAAAGAAAATGCAATGTGCGGAAAATGTAGTGATCCTTTTTCATTGCTTTTTACCAGTGGTTCCAATGTAGAGCATTCGGTGCCCGGGGTGCGTGGCACCCTGTCCAGAGCTGCCCTCAGCCCCCCGGGTGTTAGGAGACGCGTTCAGCCGGTCTGGTCTCAGCGTGGCGTAGGGATCGCAGCCTCAGGACACTGAGACAGGGCATTTGGAAGGCTCTTCACGTGAAATGATGAGGAAAGCTGCTGTGCAAGGAAAATCAGTGTTTATTCACAAATCCTGGCCCGGGAAGTTTACAGAAGACTCCGTGCCGCAACCTGGTTAGCTGAGCTGAGGTTCACATTCATTCAGATTTCTGAACCAGACGTATCTCAACCTTCATAAATCAGTCGCCTGTCAAGGGCTGCTCCCTCCTCGCAGAGGTGTCTGCGTGTCCGGACAGCCCCCAGCTGATGGCGTGCAGGGACTGGGACGAGCGGTGCTTGACACCGATAACTGCGGTTTCCTGTAGGTCGGTCTGGTTTACCTGTGCCCATCTTGGTGCGGAGCATTCGACAGCGTCCAGCAGTCCAGTTACACTCCGCGTAGTTATTTTATATTTGGGATCAAAACTCCCAACACTTGAAAGCCCTTTGCTTATGAGAGGATCTTGGCAGTGTGCGGGGAACCATTTGGGGCTGGTTGCACCAGTATAAAAATGGACTGTCTGGGCTGCAAGCTGTTGCGGACACCACAGTGCGTCGCTGGCAAGAGCATCGCTGTTGCTGTGAGGAGGGAGTCAATCCAGTATCTTCCAGAATCGTGCTACCCAAGACCCAGCCTACTTCCACTTGTTGGCTTCCTGATGCTTTTATCACAGAATCACAGCATGGTAGGGGTTGGAAGGGACCTCTGTGGGTCATCTAGTCCAACCCTCCTGCCAAAGCAAGGTCACCTACAGCAGGCTGTAGAGGACCTTGTCCAGGCGGGTCTTGAATATCTCCAGAGAAGGAGACTCCACAACCTCCCTGGGCAGCCTGGGCCAGGGCTCCGTCACCCTCAGAGGAAAGAAGTTCTTCCTCAAAATATGAATAAGCCTGTTGCTCTCCCCTTTTCTCTTCGCAGCTGTGGGTAAACCAAGAAGATGGAGTGGAGGAGGGAACCAGCGATGTGCAGAATGGCCATTTGGATCCAAGCGCCGACTGCCTCTGTCTCGGCAGGACCGTTCAGAACCGAGACCAGATGAGAGCCAACGTCATCAATGAAATCATGAGCACGGAGCGCCACTACATCAAGCACCTCAAGGACATTTGCGAGGTATGTGGGGATTGTGGCGCTGGGGTACTGCGGTGGGACGTGGGGTGGGCTGTTGAGAGCTGAGGACTGGGTTTGTCCTTGGGTGGTGGGAAGAAGACGTGGTGTGTTTGAGTGTTGTGTCTAATAGAGAAGCAGCATCTGTCCATAAGTATTGACACTTCTGAGAATTTTCTGCTGGCTCTGATAATTATCTTTGGTTTGTATTAACTAAAAGTGCAATTTTCTGACCTTCTTTCCATACCTCTTTGACTAAAAAATGATGAGGTTGAGATCCTTCAAGCAGTCATCTTAATTAAAACCCGATGCCGTCTACTTTTGAAGTTATGATTGAGGAAATTAGGTTGTAATTAAACCAATCAGTTACCCATTTCATCTGTATCTTTCACACTGGGTTCACAATTTCCCCTGGCTCAGGCTGGCCCCCATTTGCCTTTTCTTATGGTGAGACTGAGAGCAAAGTGTTTTCACCATGGGAAATGCAGGACCTTACCTTTACCCAGGGTAAGAGAAGTGGCAAGCAGGTAAACTCTGGTGACTGACTCCTCCCGTCCTCAGCTTGGTGGTTCTTCGTTGTGTTACAGTTGACCCCACTGTCCCGCCGCATACAGAATTAGTGCTGCAAGCTCAGCCCAAGGTGCAGTGCGTGGGCTGCTGGGTATTTGGGAAGGACAAGGCCCGGCTGCGCCGGAGAGTGTTGCAGGACAGCTTGGGCATAGTGTGTAGGGACCCTACTTATTGCTAAGAGCCGGAAGGTTGGTAGCGCTTAGATCGAAGTCCATGGCTCTCAGCTCATCCCTCGGAGTGTTTAGGATTTAGCGAGCCTGTGCCCGGACTTTGCAGAGTCTGAAGCTTAGAAAAATGTCTTCCTCCCTTCATCCTTGCTGCTTTTCTATTGACAAGGCAAAGCAGCCAGCCAAAAAGCATCTATGATGCTTTTCAAATGTGGAAGAGTCTTGGGATTTCAGCTTGGAAACAAATGAGCTTAATTTCGCTGTGCTATTTCAGTCGGAGGGCTTTGCGTTGAAGAAGGGAAGAGCTGCAGGAACTTTTCCACATATTGTTTCTTTTCCTGAATTTCTATTGAAAAACTGAATAAACCTTAACTTGCATTTCCCAGCCATGTCACCATGCCCTTGCCACGTCGGATTCTCAGGAGGTCTAGATAGGTACAGCTTCAGTGACGTCTGTGGGACAACACTGATCTACAGCACCTGGCGAGACATCCCACATACGAGAGAGATCTCTAAGGCTCTTGCCTTGCTCTGTGTGATGCAAAATGGAATTGAGGGGATATATCCAGGTAGAGAACCAGGAGATTATTCAGCTGCCTCTCTTGAAGGAAGAGGACTGAAATGGGCATTCTCATCTGCGAAACGCTGGGCTGTCTCTTGCTGGAGAGAGCCTCACTGTGCTCAGTTTAATCAGAGCCCTCCCTGTTACCCTATTTTAAGGTGTCAGGACAAACAGCAGCGGTATGACGTGTTGGAGGGGACAACAGAGGAGTTCTGGCTGGGTGGCGAGGGTTGAGCCTGATTTAGTACGGAGTTTGGCAGTGTGTGGTCATACTCTTGTCGCTGAGCTGTAACAAGTGACAAATCCTAACACCAGTGAGGCACCTGAAGATGCGTGGTTGTTATCGGAGGACCGTAGCCCCTGCTAGGTGATTAAGAGCCCTCCAGTTGCTCTTTTCTGCTTCGGGATGTATTTCCACTCCCTGCTACTATATTATTATACACTGTGTTATTATTCATAATACCCATGGCACCGGTCCTGCCAAGTCAGGAGCTCACAAGCTAGCCAGCACCGGAATGAAAATCACCTGCGCAAGCCAAGAGCTGCGTGAAGCAGCTGGCTCGGAGGGGAATTCCCCCTCACAGCAAAGCCCTGCTGCCCTGACGACTGCTGCCCTTGCTTGGAGTGTGAAGCACTGCTGCTTGGTGAAACAGTTTTGTGAAGGCTTTTATGAGGGGTAAGATGTGGAGTTTTACCTGCACTGTGTTACCGGGAGTGGATGGATCATTATTCTGAAATATCACCAAGGGGAAAAGAAAGAGAAAAGAGTTTCACAGAATCCCAGAATAGTGGGGGTTGGCAGGGACCTCTGGGGGTCACCCAGTCCAACCCCCTGCCCAAGCAGGGTCACCCAGAGCAGGCTGCACAGCACCGCGTCCAGGCGGGTCTGGAATATCTCCAGAGAAGGAGACTCCACAGCCTCCCTGGGCAACCCACCCTGCAGATATTTAGAGGCATTTCTAAGGTCCCCTCTCAGCCTTCTCTTCTCCAGGCTGAACAAGCCCAGCTCCCTCAGCCTCTCCCTGTACGAGGATGCTCCAGTCCCCTCATCATCTTTGTTTAACCTTAAGGAAATAGCTGGCAGTAGGAATTTCAGGCTTGATGGTTAGAGCTCGGAAGAATAGTAAGCTACTGAAAGCCAGGCCTTTTTAATGGGTATACTGGTCGGCAGTGCTGCTCGCTCGCTGTCCTCTAAAGCACCACGTATATGCATGGCCATCTCCAGGCTTGACGAGACATCCCCCTGCACCGGGGCTTTGATCCTGGGAGGATGCAGGAGGGCTCAGGGTCTGTCCGGGACGTGGCACGGGTGACACTGGCCGAGCAGCCGAGGGGCTTGGCCAGGAGAACTGCCTTGGTGAGAGCAGAGGGCCAAGGAGGTCGCTTGAGCTGTAGCGTGCGGTGGGGAGCACAGGTGGAAGAACAGGACGCGGGAGGGCTGCCAAGAGCAGGGTGCCGTGCTTTGAGAAATGAGCAGGATTTGGACCAGTGTATGGATTAGGAAAACAAGGCTAAATTTAAGGAGGTGTTAAGAGGGAGCTTGGATAGGAACAGTGAGGCAACCAGGAGATCAAAGGCAACCTCCGTATTATGAGTAATTTGGGGGTGGGAGGTTAGAAAGGCCAGCCAGCTTCCAGTGCTGCGTTTTGCTCTTTTCCAAGTAATTTGCCTTTGAATTTATTCTTTAATAACCTTGACTGGATTGCACCTAAGCGTTGCTTTGGTGCCAGGACAGCCCTGTACGCCGTGTGGAAAACACCCTCATTGCATCTTAGCGTGTCAAGCTGAGTGTGTTGTGCAGAGCTGATGGGACGAGTGTTCACGTGGTCTGGATGGCATTAGCCTGATTCATTCTCAGAGCTGGTTAAAAACCACTTTTTTGTGCCGCCTCAGAGCGAAGCAGCATAAAACATTCTTGGCAGCAGCGTGGCCCTCCTTCAGAGGACGCATCTGAGGAGCCGCTGGCCCCGTTGTATGACTGGTTTCTCATCCGTGGGTACCAGACTGGAGGGTGACTCTGCACAGAGCTCTTTGGATCAGTGGGGATGTATATATGCATATACATATTTCCCAATGTGATATCTGTAGCTGTCTGTAACAGCCTGCTTGTGCACCCCTCTTTTGGAGCCGGCTGCTTCTTGCCCTTTTGAGGAACAGGCTTGTGTCCCTGCAGGACTTCATGTGTTATATTTTAGGTGAGCCCCAGGGCAATCACGGTGCCTGACATTCAGTGCGTGCTGTAGCCCGGTGTTTGATGAAGTGCTTTAGAGTCCCGACTGCCTGGGACCAGATGGGGCTCCAGTTTCCCTTTTCAGTTCAAACAGTCTCAGCTTTGTTCTTGTGCTTACTCTTGGTATGTGCTTTGGCACGATGCTCACCTGGATGCTGTGAGCACTGCTCCAGAGAACGGTATTTTTGTAGCCCAAATGGTGCTGGTGCAGACTGAGGGATGGTCTCCAGGACAGCGGGCAGCCCCCAAACTGGCTCAGAGATGGAAGGAAACTGGAATATCATCACAGCTGCCATTGACGTGATAGCCTGCAGTGGCCATCATCTCCTCATTCCCCCTTCACCCTGCTGTCAGCCGGACAAGGGGAAGGGTGGGTGGATTGGCCACCTCTCCTGACGGTCTCCGAACCCACTCTGGGGTGGAGAAAACTTAGCACTTAACCTCCTGCAAATACTTCCCAACTTTGGCTTATACCTCAGGGACTACATGGAAAAGTACTTTAAAGAGAGGCAGTCTGACAGCTATTTTTAGGTATTCATTGAGCAAAACACTCTGCAACATCTGCTCCTCAGTCAGCTATCCCTTCTCTGAGCAAACCTGACGGGATGAGCAGAAGGAAGATGACATTGTTTTATGTAACAGAAGTAAATTTACTGGAAAAAACTATGCAGCAGCCTTCTAGCTGGCTCTTGCTGCATATTATATAAATAAATCTTCAGTCTCCCCTTTGCTGGCTTGTGCTGGAAACCAACCATCCGAACGCCCAAGCTGGAGAGAGGAGAAGGCTTGGGAACTCCGCGCGTTCGTTTATTTTCCCGGTGGTTTTATAGGTGCCTGTGCAGAGACGCGCTGCTTCAGCTGCTG